CACACACACGGGATTTTCTCTCCAAAACATCACAACAGCCTACTTAAACTAACTTCTACATGAATTAAGCAAAATCATGGTCCCATTTGCTGCCGAATCCCCTCCTATTCCCAACAGAAATTTCGGACAACAATAGGGCAGCAATTCAACCGTTAAAACTCAACATGGCAACAATTAAATGGCTAATTTAGGACTTAAATGGAGCTGCCACTTACCAGAATTTAGCAGCAAAAACCGAAGCTGCAGTTGGGGGAAGGCCGGCGGTAGTGCAGGGGACTCACGAACTACCAAAAATTGAAGGAAATTAAAAAAGCTTAGAGTGAACCCAAGCGAAATTAAGGTTGAAAAGATGAAGTTCATGTTGTGTTCCTTACCAGAAAACCGAACCCACCACCCACAGCAGCAAGCGGCTGCAAAAGGAAGGAGAAGGCAGCAGCAGATCTGAAATTTCTGGGTTGAGAGAGAGAGTTCTAAGTCCTAAAACTTGTTATTGAGCAAGAAAGAAGGAGAAATTTCAAGCTTTCTACCGGTTTTTTCCCAAGAGAGGTGCTGTCAGGCTTGGGGGCTTGGCCGGCTGCAGGGGAGAAGAAGAAGAAGAGAAACACGCGGCTGAAGAAAAAAAAGAGGAAAAGGAGAAAAAGATCAGCCATCCTTATCCAATTTCTTTCTCTTTTAAGTCCCTCAAGTTCAGAATATTCACATTAGGCCCCAAAATAATATTTTCCTCACAATCAAGTCCTTAACTAAGTGCTAAATATCACAAAATTTTGGGGTATTACATCCATCCATCCTAAAAAGGAGTTTTGTTCCCAAAACTCAAATTGAGGACCATCTAGACTGGTGAATGGTTTCATACAAGCCAAGGCAAAACAAATGCCTCACCAACTCTTTATGAACAGAACATAGCCTACTATGCTTCCGCTGTGCCACTCTGATATCAAACCACAACTAATCATAAAAGCAGAACACTAACTACTTAACAGGATTTACCATTAAACAAGTTACTGAAGGTTAGGGTGATACGGAAAGCACAAGGAATAAAATAAATCCTGCCAAGGCTACAAAAGAACAATTGTGGGGTTACGCTATGAATCCAACACAAGACAAGTTGGCAAAAAAATGGCATGGATTTAAAGACGAGTACAACAAAACTTTGAACTCTATTAAAGATGGATAAGCATCTAATGGATACATGGATTATGAATGAATGAACAAGTGCATGGATGTCTTATAAATTCTGCCACAACCAGGTTAACCCATAAATAAGATCATGTTTAACAAAACAACTAGAATCAAGAGACAGATTTTAGCAATTAATAAGAGTTAAAAGCTAGACCCATCAAATGACATGTGAAATTTCCAAAATAGCATCAGAATGAAATCAATGGAAAATATGAATGCTTGGAAGAATACTGGAACATAAGAGTGCAAGGTAGAATGCCTCAAAAAATTCAGTAACAAAACGACATTCACCAAGAATCAAGATCAAATTTAACCAAGCAGTCAAAATCGAGAGACAAGAGTGCCATGAAACAAGCAGTAGAATTCAAGGATTAGGTCCACAAAAGAGATTTCAATAATGACAACCAAAACACGGATTCAAGAGTAGATATAACCAGGATGTCAAGAACTAGCACCCCAAGTAACACTAATTAATTAACAAAATAATCAATAGTGGGGATTAGGATACTTAGAAGATTAAAAGGGCAAACAAAAATCAAAGTAGCCAAATAAAAGAACCATTTCTCTTGGAACAAAACTCTAGGGCATCAGGTACTTCAAAGACTACTCCTTCACCTCGTAGCCCATGGAGGCTAAGCAGATTTACAATCAAGTCATCCTAGACATCCTAGAGTCAGGTCAAAGCTAAGACATCAAGAATACAGATATTAACACTTGCAAGAGACAAGAATTAGAATGCCTCATATAGGTATTTTCCAATAATCATCACCCCTCCTAAAGAGGTGTCCATATGAAAAAAAAATCAAAAATCAAGAAGATCAACAGGTATACTAAAACAAGAACTATCAGAATATGCAGGATTTGCTTAAAAGCAGTATGCAGAATTTGAGCAAGAGCAAGGGTTAGGACAAGAATGGCTTTCAAGGACAATTCAAAATAGATTTCAAGAACAGTGCAAGAATTAACTTCAGACAAGTATCAAGACAATGAGGATTTCAATAATCATTATCCATTTCCTTTGGATTTTAGTTTCAAGAACAAGTACAAAGCAATCTCAAGAAAGATTGAAGATGGATTTCAAGAGTTTTAAGCAGTTTTTAGGTATCAAGAATGTAGAGATTAGCAACAATAGAGAGTTTAACTTATGACAGCTTGCCAATCTTTACAAAGACATGGCAATTTCAATGGAATGATCACTGTTTTTGATTAACCAATATAGAAAAATGAGCCACATGAAAAGACCATGAAGCTCCAAATGGAAAAAGTGAAATTTCACTATATGACTTTCAGAAAGATAATGAGCAGCAAAATTACCAAGTTATCCAGCTCCTAAAACGCATCTAGAAAATACACAACATTTGCTAAAATGGCCTTGAATCTCTTACAAAGTAGAGAGTTGCCCATCTTCCACTGGTCATGTGACAAACAGAACAAATTTCTCAACCAGCTATGCTATAGAGACGAACAGGATCAATAACAAAAGATCTCTGCAACTCCCTAGACTTTATAATTGTGGCAAAAGAGCATACAAAAATTCTGTTCACGTAACAAGTCTAAACAAGTGCGGACTATTAGAAAATGACCAAGTTTGAAAACAAGGTCTTAAGAACATGGCGGATAAGATTAATTTCATGAATCAACACAAGGTATGAAGGCAAGAAACAAGAACAATCAGATCACCGTCTCATCAAAATGGATTAGAAAATTCAGGCAACACGAATTAGAATCGTCCCTTATATAACCCCATTACTCGTCTCACCACGGTTCTAAAATCCATTGGCCAGCCAAGTTCTAAACAAATCCTAGGTATTCAATTAAACCTAAACTCGGATATCACAAAATCAGATATCACAAAATCTACAAGTACTTAATTTAACCTAAGCTCTGATACCACTAAATTTGTCACGCCTCAGAACCCAAATCCGAGGCGAAACAAATGTCGTGCACTCGTTGGAAGGTCCCACAAATGCACAAGGCTCGAAACTTATCTAATTCATGTCTAACAATCCAATAACTTAAATCAGATATTTCAAAATAATTCTATGTCCAACATGATTTAAATCCAAGTAATTGATCTAATGACCGAAATCTGCTTTGATCTCATAAATTCAAGGTAAAATCTATCTTACAAAAGTATAATTTATTTCTAACATCTATATCAATCTCGAAATGGCTAGCTTTCTAACTCGTCACTTCCCGTGGTTTCCCCGTCCTCGGTTTTGCTTTTTGAAATGGTGAACAAGGAAAAACTATGAGATAACTCAGTAAGTAAATATGGATAGCTCGAGGGTAAAATTTAAGCATGCTAGATAACAGTTTAACATAACAAAACGTTCAATGATAAACCGTTAATATAGAATCAAATTCAGTTCCATAGCAAAGCATTTAATGACAAACCATTCATGCAGAATCAAATTCAGTAGTAGTCCCATCTATAAGTCATGGCCAGCGTTTAACACCCACTGGTAGGCGTCAGAAATTACCAATATATTCGCCCAATGGCAAGCGTCAGAATTTACCAATGTATTATCCCATTGGCAGGATTACAGAATGAACCGGTCATATTAGTAAACATGTCGACATGTGCCAACGTTTGCAAACTCCCACTGGCGGGCATCAGTAATCATGACTATATCAGAGACAAAACCATGTAGGATTTACAGTAAAATTCGTAATTCACAATCAATCTCAAATTTCAGAAATAAATCAAAAAATTTCCATGTGAG